GGTAGTGAGGCAAAAAAAGAGTGGCTAATATTGGCCTCAGTAGTTTATATGCAACTTCTGTGAAGGGTAGTACATTAAACAAAAAATAATAGCAGATTTGGACTAAAAAATGAAAAGTTAAAATTTTGTATTAAATGCAAATACCAAAAAAAAAATGTAGTGGAATTCCTTAAAAAAGCTTGTCATATAGTTCATTCTACAAAAGTATTTGAAGCTTCACAAAATAAAAATATCATATGTGCAAATTACAGTGTGTCTCAGAGCATTAACTAATAATCTGTTTAGTTCAAAAGTAAACCATCTTCTATGTTCACTTTTCATGATAATAACTATAATATTATTGGAGATTAACTCCAAGAAAAACAACAGTTTGGAAAGTCATTATCCAAATAACTCAAGAATTTGTATTTTGTCATATAATTTGACTGAACAATGTAAATCCTAAATTATAATATTCTTAGATCTTATTTATAAATATATTATTTATTAAATTATAATTTACTAACTTTTTTGTGTATACAGAAATAAGTGGTGGAACCAAACAAACTTTTATGTTTAGGCCTTAGTCTTCTAATTATGCCATTTTCTTTTTGAAATGTTATAAAAAAAACATTAGGCTTTATAGGAGCCATTAATCAACTGTAAGTCAAAAACTTCAAAAGCACAGTCTCTCTTCATTTGAAGTAATTTTTAAATTTATCTGTGCCAAGTAATATAATTATCTGTTAGAAGTAAATCTGTTATTTGTGTTGAAACTTTCTATGTGGATGCATACGTTTATAAGTGCATGGCACTGAAAAGTATGCAACAGGGTAAGTGTTAAATATAGACTGGTTCCATCTGCCATCTTTATTAAAATTACTGATTAAAAAAATAGAGCCAAGAATTAGAAAGTATTTTATACTTCTTATATTAAAATTGCATCCATATATTACTACTTAACTAAAAAAGACTTGCAAAGTCTTTGGATTTATAGTCTATGAATGATATTAACTTTTAAGACAAAAGAATACTGTTTGTGGATATATGTTATATGCATATAAAATGTCTGATAAAACTAACTGAGATCTGTTCAAGTTTAAAACTCTTACAAATCTAGGACTACAACGTACCAAAATCAAAATCTGGTTTGAAAGATCCTGAGACAAAATCATCTTCTGGTGATACTAAAAAGAAAAATAACTATTTTAGATAAAATAAAGAAGATTCACTTCTGATTACCTGAAGACACAGAAAAATTGCATCCTAAAACAAAACTATAAATAAGAGAATGACTCCTACAGAGACTTGACCATGTACATAATATCTTTTTTTGCTGTTGTTTAATGCTTACCAGTTAATTAAGTGACCTCTGTCGCAATAGTCAAGTTCATGCAACTAGTGTTTAGTTTAAAAATAATAATTGAAGGAAGCTGATCAAGGTCAGACTTAGTCCTTTGACAACTTTTAAATATATTTCTTTATATTTTCTTTCATGTTTTGAGACCCTTACTTCTGGCTTTACTATCAAGCAGGTGATAGTCTCTGTTTCACCTCCTTGTGGTAATGACAGAAGGCTCCAACATTTATTCTAGTTTTCATAAACAGCATACTGATGCAACAGCTCCAAGCAAATTAAACCCATCCTAAGGTTTGTTACTAACTTACTGAGCCACTTTGAATAAGTTTTTGAACCTGCTTTGCTTTAACATAATTTTGGTTTCTCAGATTCCCTGGTATCTGAATGCTATCAAGACACATAATTAGATAATGTTCTAAAAAAGCTGAAAGTGCTAAGATTTCATGTTTTTTTTACATACTATGCTTAGACTGTCTTATAGAGTTTGACATTTTGCACAGTTTATCTTATTCTCTGCATAAATTATTCCTTTAGGTAGTTTCTTAAGTAGCCAGAGGAGAAAGAAACCAGAATGAAAGAAATCAATACCGTATATCTAAGTGAATGAAAAAAGATCTTAATAGCAAAGGCATAAACTGGACTTGAATGAAAACAAGTAATTTTAGTTTTTAAAATTCAAGATGCTAAATATTTTAGGTATTACTTTTAAAGTTAAGAAATAAGACAATAGCACTTGTAATTATCATGTAAAATAATAATGCCTTACACTATAAACAGTATGTTTTGGTGAAAGAGAGTTCAATGATAAGGTTTTTTTATTATTATTATTTTCTTAGTCATTGGCAGAGTTAGGAAAACCTAGGTAGATATTTGCAGTTACACATCTTCGAAGGTTAACGGGTTTCAGCAACACTTGCAGTTGATAAAAGATCAAAATTCAATAGTAACTCAACAAATTTACCATGTATAATTTAAAAATATCCTGAAGTAGAGTTTTAGAGTAACATATTGAATTGAAAGATCAGGTGATTGCAATATATTTAGACTATTGATAATATATTTTTGAAGGGATAGAGTTCTACTGGAGTTAACTTATCTTGGCTCTAAAAGTCCAGGGAGCAATTTTTAACCTCAGGGAAAAAACACTAAGAAATGTTGCCAATAGCGTTAAGAATATTCCCCATTCATATGGAGAGGACTTCAATTTCAAAGTCAGTCGAAGCAAAAATTTCAGAAACACACACACACACACACACACACACACACACACACACGACGACAAGGGAACAACTGTAATAGGTATAACACTACCTGCTTCACATTGATTATAACACTACAGTCATTGAAGGAAGTTTTCTCTAGCAATTTTGTGTGTGTGTGTGTGTGTTATGTGAAATGGCCATTAATTATCTAGTATAATGAATGCTGTAAGAAACACACAAAGAGGATTCCAGAGCAGAGTGATTTGATTACGAAGAGAAAAAACAGTAGCGCTTCACAGTTTACTGGGTAGAATAGACAATTTTATAACAATCATATCTTAACTGGCTTCAAATTTCAGCTAGCATTCTCTATAACAACTCCGGAACAATGTTCTGCCCTGATTCTAACAGTTCTCACAAAGGATTTTTTGGCAACTGTGTTATCTTCTGTAAGTCCAAGGACTCCAATTATCTCTGAAAATGACTTGTAGTGAGTCAAGATCCCCCCTCAGTCTTGACTGCCACCTGTCCATCCTCTTGGACACGCGCACGCAAACACGCGCGCGCGCTGAGCATTCGCCCCAAAATAGTTGAAATAAAGGCTCAAAAACACAGACACATATCCATTTCCCCCCACACACGCAAATAATGGTACTTAAACCCGAAAAGTTTCTGGCTAGGTTAGGATGGGATGCTGGTTGAGTCGGAGTTGATCTTTTTCGTCTGATAGCCTTTGGGGGCACTTAGCCAGGTGTCTTCTACCAAGAAAGAAATAATTAAGAGCTTTTCCACCTCGGTTTCCTGAAGGTTGCGTCCTACACCCCTCTTTCCCTCCCACCTCAGTTTCCCTAGTCCTACCAGGGGCACACCCTAAAAAGAGTAAAGCTCGGTTCCTTCTCCGGGTCTTGAAACTTATGGGGAGGATGTGGAAGTCTCCGCGCAGATTCTGCGCCTGGTTCTCACGCTCCCGCTTCTGGTCTCCAACTTTCCCCGCTGGCTTCTCTCCTGACAACTGAACTTTCCGCTCCGCAGCGAGCCGCGGGGACAAAGAGGACTGGGAGAGCGGGTAATGACCATTGCTACCCCGAAACTGACAAGTTACCCCACTCCCGCCCCCTCTCGGTAGATCCTCCCCTAGGGAGCGTGCATTAGCATAAAGCTGCTCTGGCCCGGCTCCCGGTCCCCGGCCTCCGGGGTTCGCGCGCTTTGCCGGGCTGGGGAAGCCGCCACTCAGGCTCCAGAACGGAGATCCAGAGAGCTTTCCGGCGCAAAGCCTGCACCTGCTCATTCGTGAGCGACTAACCTTAAATGTAAGAGAGAGAAGAGAAAAGAGAAGAGAAGAGAAGAGAAGAGAAGAGAAGAGAAGAGAAGAGAAGAGAAGAGAAGAGAAGAGAAGAGAAGAGAAGAGAAGAGAAGAGAAGGAGGAAGAAAGGGAGGAAGAAAAAGAAAAGAAAAGAAAAGAAAAGAAAAGAAAAGAAAAGAAAAGAAAAGAAAAGAAAAAAGAAAAGAAAAGAAAAGAAAAGGCAGTTTGTTGAGAAAGAGCGAGGCAGCGAGAGAGTGAGAGTGTGGTCTTCCTTCCCCACGTCTCCAGTTCAGCTCCCAGCTCCCCGGGGTCACAGGCACCCCGGCACCTCCCCTCAGAGAAGAAAACCCGCCGGTCCCCACGCATCTGCCCCGGGGCAAATGTATGGTCCACTTTGCACACGCACCGCTCACACGCGGACACTCGCACACGTGCGCGCACACAGACCCCTCCCCTCCGCGGGCTCCCCTCCGGGGTTGGGGCTGAACTCGCAGCGGGTCCCTCGGGATCGCCCCGGGCCCGTGGCCTCTGAGGTCCTTCCCCTTCCGACCTCCCAGTGGCCCCCTCCCCAGACTCCCTTTCGGGGCCCCTCACCCAAAGCGTGTTGTCCTCCCGCTTCGCGATCCCTGCCAGGCAGGGTCACGACCTCCCTCAACCCCCCCGGGACACCACTGGGCGCCGCACACTCTCCCGGCCGGCCGGGGTCCCCGGACACCCGGCGGAACCCGGGTCCGAGGGCGCTCACACAAGGGCAGCGCGCTGAAAGGGGACCACAGACCCTGGGGCGGCCCCGGGAGGGACTGGGACTCCTGAAAAGGCACCGTCCTCCCCCTTCCCATCCCTCCGCCCCCGGGCTTGGGGCTCCCGCGTACCCCAGCAGCCAAGCCCCTGTGGGCAGCCGGACAAGGGGGCGGGCCCGGCGGGAAGAAGGAGATCGGGGCCGGGGTGAGGAGGCAACTTCTCCGGGGGGTCGGGAGCGGCGGGTCAGCCCCGGGGACGGGGAACGGGGATCCGCACCCCCCAGGGCGCGCAGCTCGCGGGCGCGCGGAGCGAGCCGCGTCTGGAGAGGAGCCGGGGACGAGGAGGAGGAGGAGGGTGGTGGGAAGGGACCCCGGGTGGAGGAGGCTTCCCCTATCTCCCCCTCCCCCCTTTTTACCTTGCGTTGGTGCAGTCATTGTAGAGGGTCTCGAAGTCCTTCCTGGAGATGAGTTTGCAGCGGTTCACCCCGGGCTGGATGGCCCCCAGCCCCCGCAGGATGCGGACCTGCTCCACGTTGCACACCACCGGCGTGATCTCCAGGCGCTTGAGCTTGGTGTAGACGGTGTGCAAGCCCCCCACCAAGTGCTTCAGGAACAGGTCGAACGCCTGGGGCAGGCAGATGAGCTCGCAGCCCTCCACGGTGAACGAGGCCACCTTGGCCCCCCTCAGGTCCACCATTTTGCACTCATTATTCTGGGGGGTGTTTTCCACTGGGGACGGGGTCGAGTACACGGGCTTCCCGGGGAGGGGGCCGCAGCTGCTGCTGCCGCTGCTGCTGCTGCTGCTGCTGCTGCTGCTACTGCTGCTGCTGCTGCTGCCGCCGCCGCCGCCGCCGCCGCCGGAGCTCGCGGGGATGGGGGTGCTGGAGGCGCCGCAGCCGCCGGCGCTGATGCCGCCACCGCCGCCCGCGGTCGCCAGGCTGGGGTTGCAGTTGCCGCCGCCGCCGCCGCCTCCGTTGCCAGCGCCGCCGCCTCCGCTGCCGCCGCCGCCGCCGGTGGAGGGTCCCGTGGCCGCCGCCGCCGCCGGAGCGCTGGGCTCCGGCCGGAACAGAGTTGGCCCCGAGGAGGACGCCGGGGGCCCGATGGCCGGAGCCGGGGACGAGGTCGCCGAGGAGGTGGAGGTGGTGGTGCCCGCGGAGGACGCCGACGTGGAGATCGGGGGCTGCGGGGGCACCAGCTGGGTCGGAGGGATCAAAGCCGCCGGCACTGCCATGGCCACATAGACGGGGAGCCGCCGGGAGGAGCAGCAGGAGGAGGAGGAAGAGGAGAAGCCAAGGGGGGAAAGTTGCCACACGAGCGCACAACCCCGGGGAGGGCGAAGGGGGAGAAAGGAGAGAAGGAACCGGGGCAGCAACAACCACAACAACAACTCGGGGAGAAGCGAGGAGGAGGAAGGGGAGAGGAGGAGGTGAGGGCGAGAGAGAGCGAGCGGGCGCCGGAGGGGTGAGCGCGAGAGGCGCGCTGGAGAGGAACGCGCCAAAGTGTCCCGCAAGTGGAAAGGCGAGTCCTCTCCGGGGGCTGCGATCGGTGTTGGTTTGGGAGGGGGGGGGGGTGCAGGGGTGGGGAGGCGAGCGGGGAGGGTCGGCTGTGGTTGTGCGGGTCCCGCTCCGGCACAAAGTTAAAGAGGACGGTGAAAAGGAGGAGGAGGCTTGAGGACTTGGGTTCTCCCCGGCAAGTACATTGATCAAAGATTGAGAGGGGAATGACAGAGAGAAAATGAGCTGAAAAGTGCAGGCTGCCGGCTGGACGAGTTGTTGTTGTCACAGGGTGCAGAGGGGAGGAGCTCCGGAAACTTGAAATACCCTTTGAAGCCGCAAAAAACCTCGCTCACTAGTATTAACCCAAATTATCCAACCAGGAACTCGGAGCGGAGACTCCGCGGGCGCGCGGCGCGCGGGGGGCGGGGAGGGGGGGCGGGCGAAGGAGGAGGGGAAAGGCGGGGGTTGGGCGGGGGGGTAATGGGGAAAGGGGGGTAAGAAAGAAACTAAGGGAGGCACAGAGAGGAAAAGCCAGAGACACTGGAGTGGCTAAAGGCAGAGGAGAGATTGTCTAGTTCTCTCCCGCTACCGTTAGATTGTACGTCTCCTATTCCATTTCATCCGCGAAGGCTCGTATTGTGTTGTGTGTGTTTGTTTCTTTTTCCAAAACCCACTAAGCCACCGCCTGCCAACTTAAAGAGGAGCCAGAGCGCTTCAGTCTGTCCTTCAAGGATTTAGGGTACATCTCTACTGTTTTGTTGGTGTGGGTTTCTTTTGTTTGTTTGTTTGTTTTGTTTTGTTTTGTTTTTAATGAGATGTAAAAGAAAGCACACGCCCTCACTTTATTATTGTTAAGAAATTATTTGGAGAAAATTTCACGTGTAAGCAAAGCGCATAATGTTTATTGCATTATTTGGATAAAGACAGTGAAAACGCGAGGACAGTTTTCAAGTTGTGGGTAAAAAGTCAGGGGGACCGCTTGAGAATAATGGGATGCTCTGTACTTCATTCCTTATTTCCTAATAGATAGTGGGCGGAAAGAGATGCTTGCCCTGCTGTGGATCGCTCTGAAGAACTTCACGTCTGCCCCGAGAGGAGGTCAGAATGCTCATGATACCTTAGAGAATGTGGAGGCTTCAGGCACCTTTTAAGATTTAGAAAGTAAAAAAGAAGGCAAAGCCGATTTTTTTCTTACCTAAAACTCTATAATTAACTCACCTGCCTTGCACAGTAATCAACTTGTCTTTACATCCTTTAAGATCCAGGTTAGTCGCTAATATTATGTGAATAATTATGATATTCCTATTTGGGAAGGTCCTATTCAGTTTTTGTCAGTGCAACTGTGTTTTGTAAACACTGAAAAGAACAAAAACAAAGCCAACTGCCTGACTTGTAAAGACTGAAAGGGTAGCTTTGCTGAAAAACTGCCTGGCTGGATTCAGACTGACTCTTCTTCCTTGCTGTCCTCTCTCCTTTTCTTCCTTTTTTAACTTGTTGCATGAATGTATTTATTCAAGGGGTTTTGACCAGCATATGATTTGAGTGTAGGTCAGTCTTCTCTGTTTATATCTCTGGCAACCTTAAATAATGGGGCTCTAAATCTGTCTACACATGTTCACTAACTTCACAAGACAAAAGCAATGCTATAGCATTGGGCAGATTTTAAATATAAACTATCAGCACCAGTTTCACAGTACTTAGAAATTTTATAGTGAAATTTCTGCCGTTTTGGCATTGAAATGATCAAATTTCTCTTTACAATTTTAATTCTTTCAGCTTTCTGAAGTTTCCTGTTAAAAGGTGGGAATAGCTAGGAAATATTACATTGTTAACTAATTTGTCTAAGTTTATGCTAAACTTTTTGGGGTGTAGCAATTCTATCAGGAAGCTTTCCTGGGTCATAAGAATTCAGAAAATTGATTATTGCCAAAAAGTAGATAAAATTCTACAAATATAGCTACAGTTTACACAGTTTTTTGGCCTAGTTTTTTTAAAATAAATTATTATTCAATATATAGTTACTTGGCTAATGTATTTAACATATTCAGAATCACTTACCTTAATTTTTCCTGTTTCACATCTGTTCTTATTTAAAAATAAAGATTTGATATACAGCACATACATTAAAAACACCTCTTTATGTGTCTACACATGTTTTGGAAAATATTACCTTTAAAATATGCCAGATTACTATGTTAATGAATAAAGGAGAGAAAGAAGATGTTAAGCGCCCCCCCCCCCAAAAAAAAAACACTAATTTTATTTTGGAATTGCATGCACAACTGTAATAAACTTTGACATAGTTTAAAAAAAAACCCTCTAAACTACAGTTTCTTCATTTTAGATTCTAGATCTGCAAATGGAAATAAATGGGAATTCAGTGCCCCACATCTGCCCTTACCATTCTCATTTCTCACGTTTCCTTAAACCGTCACTCACCCAATAGCTGCCACATTCAGAAGCCACAGATGGGAAGTAATGATAGCTGACGGAACCATAATCCCACTCTGCTTGGAAGCAAACTCCACATTTTCTGCAGGGAAACCTGCGTCTGGCAGCACGTGCTCTATTCAGAAGCAGGGCTTTGGGCATTTGCCCCCACCTTAATGGAGCTTCCTCCCCCCTCACCCCTACCTCTGCTCTCTAAACTGTTTCAAGGAACTATCCCTCACTCCTTAGATCTAACAATAGGAGTAGAAAAAGCATGTAATGCAAATTAAAATATACAGGGAAGAAAAGCCTCCTGACGTTTTGAAGATATCTTTCTCTTTTAGAAATGTTATCAATGATTAAGGCAAACAGTATGTAACAACAGAACAACCAACTCTACGGAAATTTCAAACTCTCCCTCTTTCCATGACATATTTAGCTTCCAAAGCTTCTGTCTTGTTTGTTTATTGTTTTACGTCTTGGGTTGTTTCAGGTCCTCTGCCTCCATCTCATCTCTTCCAACCTGCACTCAATTTGCATAAGCAAAACTCTAAGTATTGTAACTGATATTAGAAAATTCTCCCTGTGTTTTGTGAAGACGTATTGTGCTGAAATCAATAAGACTGTTTAAAATTCAAAGACCTGCAAATCGTTCTGTTTGTCCTTTGATAGGGCCTCTGCTGATTAAAATGCTACCAAGAAAGCTTAATTGCTGCACTAATTAAGAAGTCTTTAATTTCTTTCCTAGGATATCCTTTGAAGCTGAGCTTGTACCAGTTCAGGGAAGGTATTTTCTTCCCTCCCTCTGCCCTCTTCTGGCCCCTCCTCTCCTCTTTCTCCTCCTCCCCTGCCCCCCACAAGATCCCTATGAATGGGAACTAATAGAGTGGTCTCAGGTCTCACCATCTATTAAAAATCGGCCCGGGATGCAGAGTTCAGTGCAATACGAAATGCAGTTTTGAGAAAAGCTGTAAGATTGCAGGAGACAGTAAGGAAATACAGAGTAGCTGTTGCCGCTAAAGTCCCGGTGAGTACCTGGGATGACAAGAGGCACTTTAGCAGGAAGATGAGGGCATCCTATTTGGTTAAAAGGGGCAGTGACAAGGAAATGTTTCTGTTGAAACAAGAAAACATAAACATGTACTTTCAAAACCTGTGTTTTTAAAAAAGAAGAATAAGTAGGTAAAAAGGTGGACTTGTAGTGGGGATTTGATAAGTATCATTTTATTTTATGAGTATAAAATCATGAATTCCATGGGGATTTATTTTTGACCTTTTTATAACTCAAGGGGGCATAGCACTGTATTACATCATTTCATCCTTATCTATTGACCTATTTTATTCAATGATTTCTCAAGTGGGGAAACTGACTAAATGATTTCACAAAGCTTTCTCTGTAATCAATAGTCATTTTTTAGGTTTATTCATGCTGCATTATAATTCTGGTAAATGGCTGCAAAGCAGAAGATTGTCAGAAAGATACAAATATTGACAAAGCCAGGATAATTCATGTCTTTAAACCCTTCAGAATTTCAATATAGCAATTGATATAATTATTTGAAAGGAAAAGATTGAGAAATGCATACTTCTAGAATATAAGCCTAAAATGATTAACTGGCAATACATATTTGGATGTGTTTCTTGCATATCTCAAAATTTCTTGAAAGCTTTGGGTATCCTCTTTTTTTTTATAGCATCACTAAATGCTACAAAAACAATTTGAGCCTATGCAGATAGGGCAACAAGAAAAGGGTCATTACAATTTTATCCTTTTAATTTTTTGCCAAGTTCAATTAGAAGCATGCACAGAAAAATACAGATGTATACTTCAGATATCTACTGACTCCCTTTTAGTGACAGGACAAGGAGATAACATGCTTAATAGATTCAAAGGCAGACTTACCATTCCGAGCACGACGTCACTCTAATTATGTTTACTCTAATTGAAAGCAAGGTTTTTTGGAATCTGAAATTACTTTCAGAATTTTTTTTTAAATAATGCAAGTGGATCAAATGTTGATCACAAGCATTTCCATCTTTCAAAATGTATTGGAAAATTAAATGAAAAGTGGAGTTTCATACGAACAATGCCCCAGGGCAAAAAACAACTAACACTAGATTTTCCAGTCCAGCCATAACACAAATCAATTTGAGCACACTTCTATGGCCAGACTGCCAGATTGTTATGACTGCTAATTCACTCAATCAAAGAGTGCATTAGCACACCCGGCACAAATAGCTTTAACAATAGAGTGCACTTCTGAACAATTCTAAGATATATCACAACGGAGAAAGAAGTAAAGAGGAAGATCATTTTAACATCTACATATTTACTGATGGGCCTATGTCCTTAATAGAGAAAGAAGAAAAAGAAGAAGAAGGAGGAAAAAAAAATGACTGAGATAAACTTCAGGCAGAGGTTTATTAAAGAGCTATCCTACTTTGGCAAATCCAGAAAGATACCAGGGTACCAGTAGTTCACTGACTTTGTTAAACGTTTCTCAGGAGAGAGTCCAAAATTGATGTTTGCACTTCAGTAGTAAATCATTGAAGACAGAGAAATTATGCCAACTAACTCTCCCAAGCCTTTTTAACTCAGACACAAGGCCTCACCAATCAGCTTAGAAGACAAACCTCCCAGGCTGCCTTAAGTAAAGACTTCTCTACTTTTGCACTCTTCCTCGCAGCCTCTCCACTTAGGGTTCTAACTTCTGTCTCTCAGTGACTCTCACATCCACAGTCTCCCTCTTTTTCCCTCCAACTGACTGCCTCTCTTCCAGAGCAAGGAGCACGACTTTTATCTCACTGCTACAATCTCTATC